CTTCAAGTCCAACACCTATTGTGTTTTATTAGGAGACGCACAACAGTTCTTCTGTGGCTTTATAGGTAATATTTTCACCCGCACAATTTAGCAAAATAAGACAATATTGTGTCACCACAATATTAACTTCTTATTATTGAATTGTTGTAAATAAATATCACATTTGTAATTGGTCAGTGCACAAAAAATGCTGGGAAATCACTTCATGTAGCCCCAAGAGTGATTACTGATAAACTGTCTGAAAAAAAGACCGTTTTTAGAGAAGAAAAAAATCGCCCACTGACTTTCAAAGCTGCTAACGACTTTCTACTTTGAGGACCTTGATAGAAATGTAGTGGAGTGAAAAGTACAATATTTGTCTTTCAAATGTAGTGAAGTTAAAGTCACAAGTTCCCAGAAAAAATAATACTCAAGTAAAGTACAGATACTCAAAAAGTGTACTTAAGTACAATACTCAAGTAAATGTACTTAGTTACTGTCTGCCTCTGCGAACGACAGTCGCATCACAGATCAGAGTTAATTTCTCCAGTGAGGAGGGTGAGTTCAGCTGACTGACGAGAAGAGTGAGGCGAGACAGACAAGACGATCGCAGATGATTTAGTTTCAAAACGAAATGTAAAAACGCTTGTTTGGCAATATTTTGGATTTTGAAAAGCCTATTGACTTTTGCCATTTATCTAAGGTGATTTTGGAAGTTTTTTTAAACATTTGTTTCTTATTTAATTGGTTCAACATTATTTGCTGATTTTTACTTTATTTAAACTTTGTGTCTTTTATTTATTTTATTTGACATCAAGGTGTATGCCGTGCCTCCAAGCTTTCTTACTCGTTTTGCTAATAAACGTTCTACGTTTCTTATTTATTTGGTTATATAGTATACATGTTTACTTAGCCTATTTCCAGTTTTGTATACCTATTTAAACCATCCCACAAAACTCAGACAACAGAAACTCTTAAATCCCAACAGAACATTCAACACTAACAGATATCTCCTATATCATTTTGTAAAAACACATAGAATAACATTTAATTTTAGCATTTAGTCTCCTTTTATTGAGTTCAAATCGCTGTTGGGTTTTACAGTACATTGCTGTTTTTATTTGATTTTACAGTAAACTACTGGCAACAGTGTTGCCATTGTATTACTGTTTTTCTAGTTTGTTTGCCATAAAATTAATTTACAGTTTATTATTGTTAAAATAAATTTTGTGGGTGTAACTTTTTATCTTACACGTTTAACCCTTTCAACCCCACAGGAAAATCCTTGTAATGTCCACACTACAAAGAGAAAAAGTAACACTGACGCAGGGTTGCAGTGAGTTAATTAAGTGAATAGGTAAGTGATTGTTGAGTATTAGTGATGAATACCTGCTGTTAACAAGCAGAGTCACTGAAGTAAAGAGGAACAAGAACAGAATATGATGTTGCTAAAAAAAATAACATTATTTTGTGTATTTGGTGTAATGAAATGTGTTTATGTGTGTGTGTAATATATAAATGTATTTATAAGTGATACATTGTTCAATCTCATGCTGTAGAATCACTACTGCAATTAACACGTACAACAGATAAACTACCCATGTAGTTAAAGATTTAACACTGGATAAATCCACTGTAATTATGGCATCATCACAACTTAACCAAAATCACCTGATAAATTTTTTTCTTGCCATCACAAATGTTCTTTTTAAAAACACAGTTACAGCAGACAGAAAATGTCTCATGGTAAGAGTTAAAAGGGTCATATGATGATGCTAAAAATAACATAATTGTGTATTTGGTGTAATGCAATGTGTTTATGCAGTTTAAGGTTAAAAAACACATTATTTTCCACATACTGTACATTATTGTTGCTCCTCTATGCCCCGCCTTTCTGAAACACGTCAATTTTTACAAAGCTCATCAGTCTGAAAAGCGAGGTGTGCTGTGATTGGCCAGCTATCCAGTGCGTTGTGATTGGCCGAATACCTCAAGCGTGTGACGGAAATGTTACGCCCCTTTCCATACTGTGATGCCGTGTCCCGGTGCGATGAGACAAAACCAATAAAACCCATTACAAACGAGGCATTTGTTGCATCCAGTGGGGACATAATTACTGATTATGACTTATACTGTCTTTTTACGCGTTGCGTTGTATATCGCTCTGCTTAAACATAAAACCATCTCTGCATTTTTGATCGAAGAAACGACAAACAACAAGCACTACTCTACACTGCTCAAACTCGCGTTTGAATCGTTAGTGGCAAATTCTTTATATATAAAAACTTACAGGCGTTGAGTCAAGTGCCAGACTGTCCTTGCAAAGTTGGAATTGCCCCACTTTATAGAAACAGCCTCTGTGCACACACAAACAGCATTGTAGGCTACTCTCGCAGGTTCAGGAAACAGTCCTCCATAAAATCCATCCGCTGCGCATACACAAATATTTGGCTTGAACTGTTCTGGAACAGTGTTGTAAATACAACTTAACCACTGATTTCTAGTCGTGTCCTCTTTGGAAGGCCAAAGAAAGTAGTTTTGCTTTCACAACAAATCACACAGCGTCTCCACGACATGGCGGCGGCGGCGGCAACAATACTACAGCGAGAATCAAAGCTACGCCTTCTTTCTTTGTGTGAACATTTGGGCGGTGTTATGCAAATCTTCCCACACAGTGACATAGACACGTGGGGACGTGTTTAAATGAGGAGTTTTAGGAGAGCGTGAATGAGTCTTAACTTTTTTTAATGATTCTCTCAGGGTTTGAGACTTTAGTCTTTGTGACTTTAGAGATCTTATCCATGCACAAACATCTTGTAATACTCCAAAGAGAACGCAAGCTTGAAACTACATCATATAATCCCTTTTAGGTTCAAGGGCACAACTAAAGCAAACACTGACCTCCATAACAGTAACTATAAATGTTATTATTTAAAAAAAAACTGTTGTAATTTTCAATAAAACTAAACTGGTAGTCTGGAAGTCAGTTGCTGTTTTTGTGTTTCTGCTTGTTTCTCTGATGAACACCCGATGATAGCAAGCAAAATCACTGAAGGACAGTGTCTGAATTCACTCACTTCCTTTGCCAGAATGCATTGTTTTCTACAGTATATTACAGTTTTTTTTTTCTTTTCAGAAAATGGCATGTTACTGTCAGAATATGGCCATTTTTCTACAGCAAGGGTTTACAGTTTAGGAAAAAGCTAGGTTTTATTATTTAACTGGTTTTATTCTGTGGTTCTTTTATCACCTCACCTCGTACTCATGTATTGCAGATCTTCCATTCATAATTTTTCTCTGACTATCAAAAAAAAAAAACAGAAAGAAACAAACTGTTTAATATATAATTAATAATTGGTTAATAATGATATTTATATACTATTATTATATAAAATAATATTAGCTTATTTTATTTACATTATAAATAGTACAATGATGCTTATGATGATGAATAATCCTCCAGATACTGCTGTGATTTGAAACACAGTACTACCAGCTCTATGGTGAACTGAAAGAGGAAGAAGATAATTAAATGAACTGTCCAAACTGATGTAAAAAAACAAAAACAAAAAAAAACAAGTTTGTTAAAAAAAGCTTCACCTGTGACAGTAACAGCGTCTGATCTCTGAGATCCGTGTTGATTGTGAGCCTCACAGTAGAAGCGTCCACTCTGTAGTGCACTGAAACTCTGTCCAGATCCAACAGCTGAGCTTTGATTCTCCTTAAACCAGCTGAAGTTCAGAGCAGGTGGGTTTGAATCACTGCTGCAGCTCAGAGTCACTGAATCTCCCTCCACTATTTCACCAGACGGACTGATGTACACTGAGACACTCTTTGGTGGGTCTAACAACAGTAATAAGATTATTACCTTTTACATATTCTTAAAAATTAGTAATAGGAATTGAAATGATCAAAATGAGAGAATTAGCATCTTATGTTTGTAATAGACTCACACATGACAGTGACAGTAACAGCATCTGATCTCTGAGATCCGTGTTGATTGTGAGCCTCACAGTAGAAGCGTCCACTCTGTAGTGCACTGAAACTCTGTCCAGATCCAACAGCTGAGCTTTGATTCTCCTTAAACCAGCTGAAGTTCAGAGCAGGTGGGTTTGAATCACTGCTGCAGCTCAGAGTCACTGAATCTCCCTCCACTATTTCACCAGACGGACTGATGTACACTGAGACACTCTTTGGTGGGTCTAACAACAGTAATAAGATTATTACCTTTTACATATTCTTAAAAATTAGTAATAGGAATTGAAATGATCAAAATGAGAGAATTAGCATCTTATGTTTGTAATAGACTCACACATGACAGTGACAGTAACAGCATCTGATCTCTGATAGAGACTAATTCCTAAGGTTTTGGCCTGTGACCGCCATACAAATGCCTTACTATCTCTGGATGGAGCAGCAGTTGGTGAAACAAAGAGAGTTAAAAATCCATTAATGAAACCTTAAACTACAAGACTCCCATTTTATACTTCTAATCTTACATAAATTCAGCTTTTAATGGACAAATGCCTGCATGCATGACATGTGTTTTGGACTGTGCAAATGAGTTGCACGGGGGAGAGAAGGGTGGGTGTCCCCTCTGACCCAGCAACCAATCACAGCACTGAAATGGAGAAGCGCCACATTATAATCTCCTCTTCATCAGAAAGGGATAACTGTACCCATTCAACAGACACTCCCTGTCCTGTAACGGGAGAGACAGAAACAGATCACCAATGTTCTTAGCCTGCAGCCCACTACAGGGAGGCAGCAACAGATACATTCAAGTTCTGAGTCTCCAGCCTGCGTGGTCATAAAACATAACTTTGTTCACATGTTTAAACTTACAGGTTTCACAGCCCGTCTCCCACACAGTAAATTCCCGAGTGTTAAACTAACACTGCTTGGAGCATAAAGAGTGTTAAAGTAACACTGAAGCAGTGTTAAAGTTAATGAGATAATTCTGTGATTAATTAAGTGCTGATTGATCATTAGTGATGAACAGCTGCCGTTAACAAGCAGAATCACTGAAGAAAAGAGAAACACAAGAACTACAACTGACTTCAGCCACAGACTTAGATGAAATCAACTGAAATAAAAGAAGACTTTAAATCTCTCAAGATCTCAGCAGAAGATAATTAAAAGTGAAGTGACATGTGGCCAAGTATGGTGACCCATACTCAGAATTAGTGCTCTGCATTTACCCATCCAAAGTGCACACACACAGCAGTGAACACACACAAACCGTGAACACACACCCGGAGCAGTGGGCAGCCATTTTATGCTGCGGCGCCCGGGGAGCAGTTGGGGGTTCGGTGCCTTGCTCAAGGGCACCTCAGTCGTGGTATTGAAGGTGGGAGAGAGCGCTGTACATTCACTCCCCCCACCTACAATCCCTGCCGGTACGAGACTCGAACCTGCAACCTTTGGGTTACGAGTCCGACTCGCTAACCATTAGGCCACGACTTCCCCCTAAATCTCAGCAGAAGATAATTAATCATCTCCACAAACAGCATCACCAGCTTCATGCATTACTAACCAGTTTGACTTTATTTCTGGAGTATCTAAAACAGATGTTCTTTATTAAGAATTAATGTTTATATGTTTTTTTTTCTTCAACTTACCGTTTTTGTAAATAGTGTTTGCTTTAGTTGCCTCTTGACCCTTGACTTTTTAAATTTAAGTTTATTTTTGTGAGATTACAATGTGAGAAAAACTTCATAAACAACTTATATATATATATGGTTCAGAAATAGGTTTCCATTCTGGCACTCATAGACACGAAGAATCAGCATGTGAATCTCAGCAATGGTGACAAAATATTCTAATAATTTTTATGTGATTTCTGAACATCACAAAACAAGGCAGTAAAAAGTCACAACAAAAATAACAAAAATAAAAGCAAATAGTAAAAATAAAAGAAAATACTAAGGCAATGCAGCTGCATAATTTATTCATGTCACAATGCATCAGAGGCGGACAATCCAGGGGTCAGAAAGTAAAAGTCCTGCCATATGTTTATTCCACCCATGAACTCAGCAGCTGATTTCAGCAGAGGAGGAACCAAGTCATTCCTTTCAAGTCACAAACGCGTCTCGAGTCAAATCCCAAGTCCTCAAAGAGTTAAAGTTAATGAGATAATTAAGTGACTAATTAAATGATTGTGCATTAGTGATGAACAGCTGCTGTTATTGAGAATTACAGAGGATCAGAGCTGGCACAATTGTGTGTATTAAAGAAATATATATGATGGCAATGAATTTATAGTTAAATCATGTCATGTAACGGAGTCTCTGATTGCAAATAATCTAAAACTATAATGCTTTAATGATTTCTATGTTGTTGCAGTTATGTGAGGTTACAATGTGAGAAAAACTTCATAAACAACTTCTATATATATATGGTTCAGAAATAGGTTTCCATTCTGGCACTCATAGACATGAAGAATCAGCATGTGAATCTCAGCAATGGTGACAAAATATTCTAATAATTTTTATGTGATTTCTGAACGTCACAAAACAAGGCAGTAAAAAGTCACAACAAAAATAACAAAAATAAAAGCAAATAGTAAAAATAAAAGAAAATACTAAGGCAATGCAGCTGCATAATTTATTCATGTCACAATGCATCAGAGGCGGACAATCCAGGGGTCAGAAAGTAAAAGTCCTGCCATATGTTTATTCCACCCATGAACTCAGCATCATGGAGATCAGTGTTTGCTTTAGTTGTGCTCTTGACCCTTGACTTCTTGTCTCTAGACTCTCTGTAATTAATGCATATAGTGTTGGAAGGCAGTGAGAACAGTGCTCTAATTTAACAGCTGTTAGCTGATTATAGAAAATTATCAGGGACCAACCTGATCATATTCAAGCTAGCTTCTTTTATTAATTTTTTTATGTGTTTAGATTTTAAATGATTGATAAAGTTCAGCATGCAATGAAAGTCTTTCTCTAAAAGTTACATCAAATTGATGTTGAAACTGTATTATGCATGTAATAATTACTGCCTGAATGATAAAGACACACACAGACATCAAGAACCAGCATATGAATCTCAACAATGGTGACAATCAACAAAATGCTTCATGCTGCAATGCATGCTGGGTAACACCATAGTAAAAACTCCCATCATGCACTGCAGCATGAATAATTGTCACCACTGTTGAGGATCATATGATAAGTGCTCATGTCTAAAAGCCTGAGCAATGAATTGCCTTTTTATTTTCAATATTTAAGCATCATGGTTGCATTTGTTTGATATGCCTTTTTTTTTTGTTCTGTAACAGCTGAATGTTAGTCTATAAACCAAAGAGAAACAACTTCACAAAAGTCACTCAGGTGAGTTAAAAGCAGAACATGTAAGCTGCTTTCTCAAGCTTTTAAGTTGGCAATGTGCAACTTCACTAATGCTTATTGGTAAACAATACTGTAATTGTTTAAAAGCAAGTAACTCTGTTTTATCAAAAGGGTCAAGAGCCCAACTAAAGCAAACACTGATCTCCATGATGGTGCCATCATTTTAACCAATAAAACATCAACATCTGATCCTCTGTAATTCTCAATAACAGCAGGTGTTCATCACTAATGCACAATCATCATTTAATTAGTCACTTAAGCTTGTGGTCGGTTTTCAATACAAAATGCTTGCAAATGAGAAAATCCTTTAAAATTTTGCATGCCCATGTTAGACTCAGTGCCTCTTTTTCAACTTATATATATATCTCTGCTCGGTCTGAGTGAGAGATCTCAATGAGTAAACTATTGGCTTCCAACCTTCCTGCCACCTCTGCATAAGGACTATGGTCCATAGGATGAAACTTCGACTGATAATTTACAGTCTCTTTGAGTCCTGGATAGTCAGAACAGGAGATGACAGTATATCTTTCAGAGTTTGAAAAGTTTTGGCCTGTTCAATGCCCCAAATCCAACAGTTATTTTTCGACAGCAGGTTGCGGAGAGCTTTGTCTTTGTCTGCTAGTTGAGGAATTAACTTTCCTTGCTGATTTACCATCCCCAGGAAGCTCCTCATTTCACTCACATTTGAGGGCTCTGTCATATTCCTGATGGCTGCTGTTTTCATTGAGTCAGGACTAATTCCATCAGCAGAAATAACATGACCTAAAAAGTGTACTTTTTGCTTCAACAACAACTCACTTCTCGACATTGAGAGTGATGCCTGCCCTTTGCATTTTCTTCAGAACTACGTGCAGTTGAATGTCACACTCCTCCTTTGTTCTCTCTAACACTAGAACATCGTCAATGTGACATACCATGCCTTCCAGCCTGCCAGTGACCTCTGAAGACATTCTATTCTGGAAGTGTTCTACAGCGGTTATTCCGAAAGGAAGCATTTTGAGAAGTAACAACCAAATGGGATTATGAACGTTTTGCACTGTGCAGAATTCTCTGACAATGGTATTTGCCAGAATCCCATATTGGAATCTAACTTACTAAAACTCTGCGCTCCAGCTAGCATTCCTAATGTCTGTTCAACTGACAGCAGAATGGAGAAGCCCATGGTTTAAGACTGATGATATATGGCTGTTGTACTTCACCTAGACTGCTCCACAATTTTGGGTAGCTTAAATGTTTCAACATCAATGCTATCTAATCACACCACAAGCTCAATCCTTGCAATAGCCGGTCTGCCCAGAAGTGCAGTGTGCAAATCTCTGATTACATACACATCTTCCTCAGACTGTTTTCCACCTTTATTTAACAACAGACTGGTAACTCCAACTGCATGTAAGGGGACTTGTCCTCGTCCCAGCAACAGCCTTGTTGCATCCCTGAGGACAGGTACGTTTTTAAAAAAAATCTTCTCAAACATGTCTGCTGGAATGATGGTGACATCCACACCATCAATTTTAAATGGCACTCTTTTAGGTCGAAGTCCACCTTCCATGGTTTGGCAGGTCTTGTGATGCTGTCCAGCAATATAGGGTCACCCTCACACACTTCCCACACAGTTTTTGATGATGCACATGCCTGCTTGCAGTGGCATTTTTTTCCAGCAGAAGTGACATTTTACATAATTTGCTGGACAATCACACTTTGTGTGTGCCGGAGAGCTACCACATTTATGGCATTGATTGCTATTCATCTTACTGGAGTGTGATACGTGTGACTTTAGATTAGGACTATTCCCCTTTGGAGGAATATATAGTATTGTTTGTGACTGAATATTGTAATTTTGCAACAACATCCTGCCCAGGGACTGCAGATGCAAATTAGCTTTATAGCTGGCACAACACTTTTATTGTGCATTGTCCCTGTATAAATAAATGTAATGTATTACTTAAAATGTTGTCAGAACAGGAGATGACAGTATATCTTTCAGAGTTTGAAAAGTTTTGGCCTGTTCAATGCCCCAAATCCAACAGTTATTTTTCGACAGCAGGTTGCGGAGAGCTTTGTCTTTGTCTGCTAGTTGAGGAATTAACTTTCCTTGCTGATTTACCATCCCCAGGAAGCTCCTCATTTCACTCACATTTGAGGGCTCTGTCATATTCCTGATGGCTGCTGTTTTCATTGAGTCAGGACTAATTCCATCAGCAGAAATAACATGACCTAAAAAGTGTACTTTTTGCTTCAACAACAACTCACTTCTCGACATTGAGAGTGATGCCTGCCCTTTGCATTTTCTTCAGAACTACGTGCAGTTGAATGTCACACTCCTCCTTTGTTCTCTCTAACACTAGAACATCGTCAATGTGACATACTAAAACTCTGCGCTCCAGCTAGCATTCCTAATGTCTGTTCAACTGACAGCAGAATGGAGAAGCCCATGGTTTAAGACTGATGATATATGGCTGTTGTACTTCACCTAGACTGCTCCACAATTTTGGGTAGCTTAAATGTTTCAACATCAATGCTATCTAATCACACCACAAGCTCAATCCTTGCAATAGCCGGTCTGCCCAGAAGTGCAGTGTGCAAATCTCTGATTACATACACATCTTCCTCAGACTGTTTTCCACCTTTATTTAACAGCAGACAACAGTAACTCCAACTGCATGTAAGGGGACTTGCCCTCGTCCCAGCAACAGCCTTGTTGCATCCCTGAGGACAGGTACGTTTTTAAAAAAAATCTTCTCAAACATGTCTGCTGGAATGATGGTGACATCCACACCATCAATTTTAAATGGCACTCTTTTAGGTCTAAGTCCACCTTCCATGGTTTGGCAGGTCTTGTGATGCTGTCCAGCAATATAGGGTCACCCTCACACACTTCCCACACAGTTTTTGATGATGCACATGCCTGCTTGCAGTGGCATTTTTTTCCAGCAGAAGTGACATTTTACATAATTTGCTGGACAATCACACTTTGTGTGTGCCGGAGAGCTACCACATTTATGGCATTGATTGCTATTCATCTTACTGGAGTGTGATACGTGTGACTTTAGATTAGGACTATTCCCCTTTGGAGGAATATATAGTATTGTTTGTGACTGAATATTGTAATTTTGCAACAACATCCTGCCCAGGGACTGCAGATGCAAATTAGCTTTATAGCTGGCACAACACTTTTATTGTGCATTGTCCCTGTATAAATAAATGTAATGTATTATTTAAAATGTTATTTTATAATATATATATAAAAAAAATAAACCGAGCTAGCATCTGCAGCCACAGTGTCTGACAGTGCTTGCTGTCATTTCACCATTACACTTGCTTTTTCCAAGGTCAGCTCAAGATCCAGCTGCATACGCTCAGAAAGCTGTCTGTCTGCCAACCCCACAATGAGCCTGTCTCTAATCAGCTTGTCACATAATGCTGAGTAATTATAATGTTCAGCCAGAGCATTCAAAGCTGTCATAAAAAAAATCAACAGTTGGGTTTTCCGTGCCCGTTCATAAATTACATTTCTCTTCCCAATAAAGTGTGCCTCAAAGCCTGCTTTTAGTGCGTCATACTTTCTTTCATCAGTGTCTGCTAGTGGTAATCCACAAATAACATCATCACCCTCATCTCCCATGGTTTAGAAAAGTCTAGTGGCTCAGGTGGCCGTATGCTGAATGTAGTGCTCGGTCCCGTTGATTTTGGTGCAACGACCACATTATCTCCACCGTCCATTTCAGCTCAAGCATTCTTTCTAAGTTATCTGGGCTTCACAAGCTAGCTAAAGCAGCCACAATGTCAAGTTACAGGACTTCAGATGCCATGTTGTGTATCTGAAATAATATCTCTGGATTCAAACTGTGTCAATGTGCTTTTACTTTAAAACTGTTGGGCAAAGTTAAGTACATACAGCTCACTGGCACTTCCTTGTCACTCTCTCTTGATGTCATATAACCCACTCAAACCTTGAATCCCATAGCAACAACCCCACATGATATACTTATAACCACAACATAAGTGACACATGATCCAAAAATCGCCATGTCATTGGGGACATGAGTATCCATCACTACATTATTTCACCTCACTGGGTGGGTGAAAGTAAAATCACTACATTCGTGTTCAGATCTGTACTTCATTCCAGATAGCAACATATTGTAGGCCCAGATCCGGAACACATCTGGCACATGTGGAATGATGATCTGGCCCACATGTAGCGTGGAATGATGGCACTTGGGTGGACTGCTCCTGTTTGCCAGATCTGGGCCACAAGCACGCCATAGCAATGCCACATGTCAACCAAGAACAAATAAATAAACCACACTGGACCTTATCTCACAAAATAGGTCACAAAGTCTTCATATACTATTTATAGAATCCTCTCAGCTTGTCTACGCTTGTTAACAAGCAAAATCACTGAAGGAAAGAAGAGAACAGAAAAAAGGGACAAACAGAAACTCAAGAACTACAACTGACTGCAGCCACAGCCTTAGATTAATTCAGCTGAAGATACAAGGCATTAAATCTCTGAAGACGTCAGCAGAGCAGGATTAAACAACACAAACAGCATTACCAGCTTCACTTATTACTAACCAGACTGACTTTATTTGTGTTAGAGGTCTACATAAGTTCTTATTGAGAATTAACAGATTTTAAATCTCAAAAATGTGTTTAATTTGAAGCCACCATAATGGTGATTGGTGACTGCATGCTTTTGTGGCTCAGATAAGGTCCACTGTGCAAGGTGGACCTTATCTGGTAAGGTCCAAGGTCCAAACTTTATTACTTTATTCTTGGCTTATATGTGGCATTGCTATGGCCTGCTTTTGGCCCAAATCTGGCAAACAGGAGCGGTCTGCCCAAGTGCCATCATTCCAGATGTGCCTGATGTGGGCCAGACCTGGGCCGACGATATGTTGTTATGGGATGTGATCAAGATCTTTCAGACTAGAGTCAGTAAATAATTTCTTAATGGATCTCACTCTGAATATTGTCATGCAGGAGCAGAAAAGATACACTGTAGACACTATTGTACTCAAATTGTTTGTTTAAAAGACTGGTGTGATTGTGAGAGTCAACCCCATTAATTACAAGAATAGCCCACATATTTTTGCCTATGTACTTTAGGTAACACTTTATTTCGATAGTCCACTTTAGACATTCTATTAACAGTAAGTAACTTTGCAACTACATGTCAACTATCAGTTAGTAGAGTATTAGTAGACTGTCTGCTTAATGTCTTCTAACACTTTCTTTGTCAACTTATTCTACTAACCCTAAACCTACTCTAACACTCTACTCTGAGAGTTAGTAGACATGTAGTTGCAAATTAATGAGAACTAGTTGACATGTAGTTACAAAGTTACTTGTAGTTAATAGAATGTATAAAGTGGACTATCGAAATAAAGTGTAACCATACTTTACATTGCTGGAACCTTCAAAGACTATTAACTGGGAAATAAGAAATGCAACGTAGTCACTTATCAAATACACTTGTTTCATTGTGAATTTATTTAGCTGGGGATTTGCCAACTATTGGACTACCTGTTGAATCCTCTTTTTTTAATGAAAAAATACAATATCATGTAAACTTAAATCAGAGCTAAAATTTAAAAACTATTATGTTAAAAATCATTAACTTACACATGACGTTTAAAGTCACAGCATCAGCGTTTTTAACTCCATGATTATTTCTGGACTTGCACTTGTATTCTCCACTGTCATCAGTGCTGATCTTTGAGATGTTGTAGATTCTTCCAGATCCTACAAGGGTTCTTCCTTTAAACCAGATGATTTCTGCAGGTGGGTTTGAATCACTGTTGCAGCTCAGAGTCACTGAATCTTCCTCCACTATTTCACCAGATGGACTGATGGACACCACTACACTTCTTGGAGCATCTAAAATAGCAAAAATGAAATGTCTCATCAATGAACAGTAATAAAATACACTGGAACTGGCAGATCTATTGTCAGTTCTTGCATCGACATTCACTTACACATCACATTCAGCATCACATTGTCAGAGTATTTCTCTCCATGTTTATTTCTGGACTTGCACTTGTATTCTCCACTGTGATCAGAGCTGATCTTTGAGATGCTGTAGATTCTTCCAGATCCTACAAACGTTCCTCCTTTAAACCAGCTTATTTCTGCAGGTGGGTTTGAATCACTGCTGCAGCTCAGAGTTACTGAATCTCCCTCCACTATTTCACCAGATGGACTGATGGACAATGAGACGCTCTTTGAAGGATCTAACACAGAAACACTTTGACATCATTAAGTATCACCATAAATTTTACATCATAGACTCTGTTTAGAGTATTTAAAGTCACTGTTACTGAACCATCATTAACTCACACATGACGTTTAAAGTCACAGTATCAGAGTATTTCTCTCCATGTTTATTTCTGGATTTGCACTTGTATTCTCCATTCTCATCAGAGCTGATCTTTGAGATGCTGTAGATTCTTCCAGATCCTAGAATTGTTCCTCCTTTAAACCAGCTGATTTTTGCAGGTGGGTTTGAATCACTGCTGCAGCTCAGAGTCACTGAATCTCCCTCCACTATTTCACCAGACGGACTGATGGACACTGAGGTGTTCTTTGGAGGATCTAACACAGAAAAACATTGATGTCATTAAGTATTATAATAAATGTAACATCATAGAGCATGTTTAGAGGATTTAAAGTCACAGTTACTGAACCATCATTAACTCACACGTAATGTTTAAAGTCACAGCATCAGAGTATTTCTCTCCAAGTTTATTTCTGGACTTGCACTTGTATTCTCCACTGTGATCAGAGCTGATCTTTGAGATGCTGTAGATTCTTCCAGATCCTACAATTTGGTCCAGAACACTTTCATGATCTGATGTCCAGTAGGGTATGTATAAGTACAGTGGATTGTCACTGTTGACCCTTTTATTGCACAGATGTGTGAAGAGCCATAACTCGCACCCCAATCATACTGCCCATAAACTCCTGAAACCCACAAAAAAGGGATAATTCACCCATTTTTTAAATCACTATCCCCTCATGCTCATCATATTCATATCCCAAATATTGACTGCATAAATGATGATACTTTATAGTTCCTTTTAAGGGGATATTTGTCTCCTGCAGAACAATATAACGTCACACAGTCATGTCTTTTTACACTAGAATTAAACATTATTTTAGGTGAAGGAACAAAAGTGTTCTTATATAAGTTGTATCTAATCCTTGGGGTGCGGAAACAGTGACCAGATTGACAGAAGTGTAAAATCCAGGGGTCAACGAGTAAAATTCCGAGGGAAAATGGCAGACGGTTGTTGGAGTTAGACGCGCGTGTCTTGCTCCTGCCCCAGCGTGGTATCTTTACCTATTTTCATAATCCCCACCTCGCTTTTTTACTCAGATGTTTAGGAACATACTATGGTGTTTTCTTTATCTTTATCATGACTTCTAAACAGTCAAAACAACATAAGCAGAGGTGGACAATCCAGGGGTCAGAAAGTAAAAGTCCTGCCATATGTTTATTCCACCCATGAACTCAGCAGCTGATTTCAGCAGAGGAGGAACCACGTTATTCCCTTCAAGTCACAAACCAGTCTTGAGTCATATCCTAAGTCCTCAAAGAGTTAAAGTTAATGAGATAAATAAGTGACTAATTAAATGATGATTGTGCATTAGTGATGAACACCTGCTGTTATTGAGAATTACAGAGGATCAGATGTTGATGTTTTATTGGTTAAAATGATGGCACCATCATGGAGATCAGTGTTTGCTTTAGTTGGACTCTTGACCCTCAACTTTTATGTTAAATTTTTCTCAGTAACCATGTATGTGCTGATGTAAAGCAGAGAGTACTGAGTTGTACAGTGAGAAAATATTGTCTGTTTGAAAATGATAAGCTGTCAGAAGCTAGCCTGTTTATGTATGATTCCATATACATAATTTAAAAAAAATCACATATAATATATTATGAATGAATCTTAGCAATGGTGGTAATCAAAAAACTGCTTCTGGCTGCAATGCATGCTGGGTAACAACATAGTAAAAACTCCCATCATGCACTGTAGTATGGAAAAATATTGTCACCATTGTTGAGGATTGTATGAAGTGTTCACGTCCTAAAGCCTGAGCTACCTTTTACTTTCTGAACCTGGATTTTACACCTCTGCAGATGGAAGTAGTTTAGATTCTGTATAGAGCACAAAAGGAGGGTCCAGAATAATTTTTAAACTGTAGCTCTGACTAACATTTACATGATATTGTAGTTTTGATTAATAATATATATATTTATGATTAATCTATGATGATTCAACAGGGAGTCCATGATTGGCAGACCCCCAGCTAAAGTAAGTAACAAAGAACAAGTTTAATTAATAAGCAACTATGTAACATTTGTTAATGATCCGATGGCTTACCATGAATCATGAGCAGAAACACCAGAGCAAAAGGAGGAGCCATTCTGACTGACATCACTACAGTAACACACAATCTTTAGCTTCAAAAGAAAAAGAAAAAATATTTAACCAAAAAATATCTCAATTAAGTTTTCAGTAAGCATATTTCCTATTGAATAAGTCAGTGTGTTGTACAGTATTAACGGGACTATATTCACATATTAACCAAATATTCACACACACAATCTACAATATTCACATAATAATCACATTATTAACTCTTACCGTGCTCTGGTGAGTCTGACCTCCAGCAAGCGTTATACTGATTTCACATTATTAACATGGCTTCTTTTAAAAAGACCATGCAGAGAGAAATGTTTCTTCCTCTTTCTTGGGTGCTGCCCACACAAGCAACTATAAACAGCACACCATGATCCAATGGCATTTATTTATAATTAACAGAGGAGGGACTTTCAAGTCACAAGCAAGTCTTCAAGTCATATCCCAAGTCCTCAAAGAGTTAAAGTTAATGAGATAATTAAGTAACTAATTACATGATGAGTGATCATTAGTGATGAACACCTGCGGTTAACAATCAACATCATTGAAGAAAAGAGAAACACAAGAACTACGTCTGAGTTTAGCCACAACCTTAGATGAAGTCAACTGAAAAAAACACACACAATGCCACCATTAATAATGTGGTCAAGATTTGCTTAAGATAGTCTCTTGACCCTTTCACTAATTCAAAGCAATTTGCTTCTGAGCAATTACAATTGTTGCTACACAGCAAACATTTCTGCATTGCCGAATCAAACCGTGAAGTAGCAGAAGATATAGTCACTCTTTTGTTTATTGACTGCCATGCAACAGCTTCTGAACAGAAAATGAAAAAATTCCTAAAAATTAAAAATGCCACTGTAGCATGCCAAAATATTGCAAAATAATAGCCAATAGCGTCTCTTCAGTGTTTTAGAGATGAACACTTATCATATGATCCTCAACAGTGGTGACAATATTTTTTTCATACTGCAGTGCATGATGGGAGTTTTTACTGTGGTGTTACCCAGTATGCATTGCAGCATGAAACATTTTGTTGATTGTCACCATTGTTGAGATTCATATGCTGGTTCTTGATGTCTGTGTGTGTCAAACAGCTCTTTGTGTTAACATTCAGCAGATTAAAAAATATTTCACTGAAACTAATAGCGTGGTTTTTGTTAGTGTACAGTAATTTAATAGTGTTGACTATGAAAATGCAGACACATCTGTGAAATAAGAAGACATAAAAATAACATAACTCTTTTGCATGAGGGTCAGTTCATGATGAATATTTCAGCTTACAGGAACAGCTAATCACAGCATAGCACTGAGCTCACTACTTTTCAACATTTACAAACTATTGCACTATTACAAATAGAGGTCTACTGCACGAGTCAAGAGCACAACTAAAACAAACACTGATCTGCATGATGGTGCCATCATTTTAACCAATAAAACATCAACATCTGATCCTCTGTAATTCTCAATAACAGCAGGTGTTCATCACTAATGCACAATCATCATTTAATTAGTCACTTAATTATCTCATTAACTTTAACTCTTTGAGGACTTGGGATATGACTTGAAGACTTGCTTGTGACTTGAAAGTCCCTGCTCTGATAATTAAACCAAAAATGCTTAAAAAAAATCTGTCCACCACATTGACTGGTCAGTGAATCACAGATTTTTCACCATATAGTAGGCCATTTTTATAGTTTCACTTTGTTTTTTGCATGTAGCAGGATAGAAGAGATGTTCAAATATAAATACAACAACTGGGTTTTCCCTGGGGAAAAAAAAAAAAATTCTGAAGAATTTGAGTAAGATTATTATATGTCATCACTTTGACCACAGACAGACAAGTTATTCTTTAACATCCTTTTTTTTTCCAACTTTGGTTTACTGGCAAAAAGAGAAGTGACATGAAGTGGTGGGCAGTAGAGGTGGGTGGGACAATAAATGACCTCATCCAGAATCCCAGCCTCTGCATGAATCAGAGACCACCTACACTGACTCAACATACAATATGTCTCTGATTGAAATAATCAAAATTATTCCTGTGTCCTCTCCAGCTCTACAGCGCCCCACATTTTTCAGATATTAATCTGTGGAGAAGAATGGAACTGCAGAGCACTCTAATTGAGAGACACTGGGGCAGATTTGCTTCATACATACAGTGGGGCAAAAAAGTATTTAGTCAGCCACCAATTGCGCAAGTTCTCCCAGTAAACGTGATGAGTGAGCTCAGCCTACGTCTCGGTGTTGTCCTTTCCGGATGGGTTAAAAGAAAGAACCAGAAAGCGGGGTTACACATACAGGCATATTGCACTATTATAAGAAGATATTGTTTATTTTATTCCAATATATTTTATATATATTTTTTATTTTATTGTCATCTCACACATCATAGATCTGCATTCAAACTTTTTTTTTTTGCAATGGAATGCTTTCTATAATGTATTTTTCTATAATAAAAATACTTTTGTGATAAGTCTTAATAATATATAATTAACATCAAACAAACATTATAGTTATCTTCTCAGTGATTAAAGATTAAATGAAAAGACACTAAGTATGTAAATGACCACTGAACAAAAGAAGAAGAATGTAGAAAGCATGCTTTTTGGTAGCGTCTGTTTCCATGGTGACTCATTGATTCTTAGCTCTGTTAAGAATGTCTTAAGACATTAACATTCTTAAGACATGTTTGTTCACAGACCTGTTGTTCTATAGTAACATCATGAACTGTGACTATGCCAAGGATGTCTATATAACACCTGGAGTATCTATCCATGAGCATACCCACTGATCTCAAATTACATTTGTTTGGACTGAGGAACTCAGCATCGTAAGTACGAGCTATTGAAGCTCATGTGTACCAAAGGTGTAGTATATGAGAAAACCTTTGGGGGAACCAAAGGTAATGTAGGTTAAGTCCTGTAAAGCTAGGTTGTTTCATATCAGTTAGTGACTTGAAAAACAGGCGTTCATGCAAAGGTACTGTATAAGAATGTGCACTCCCTGCAGACATTCATATTCTCAAAAAAACCCCTAATGTGCACATGATCTTGTGGACTTACAGCAGTTGCCACGCATGGTATCACAAACATTTGTTTTTAGAAATAAAGTCAATTATGCTGCTTTGGAATAATGTCACCAGCAGGTGGAGCAAACAACACGCAAATATGGCATCTTCAGTGAGACAAACCAAGGGTGCATTCCCAAAATGATTGTTAGCTGGTCGCAAGTTCCATTGAACTTTATTGGTAAAGATGGAACTTGCGACCATAGTTGCTTTTAGGAAATGCACCTCAGATTAGTACCAACTAACCAGTAAACAGTACTGTAGGTCATAGAACAGTAAAATGCATGCACTTCTAACAATCTCTTAATGTATTGCTATGTATGCTGTTATACTGAGGTATTAAATGACAGAAGATTGAAAATCATTGCAGTCAGATCTTTCAGATCAGATCTTGATTCTCTGCCTTGAAAACACAAACAATGCCGCCCGCATAAGGTAAAAAAAAGCATCTGAAAACATTTAAATTAAGCAAAAAATATATATAAAATACAAACTTAAAAAAAATAAAAATACAGACTTACAATAACACATTTGATTATATACTTGTATGTAAACTTTCAGAGCTTTTCAGGGCTCCACATACATTTTCGCTCCTTTGCTATGTATGCTGTTATACTGAGGTATTAAATGACAGAAGATTGAAAATCATTGCAGTCAGATCTTTCAGATCAGATCTTTATTCTCTGCCTTGAAAACACAAACAATGCCGCCCGCATAAGGTAAAAAAAAAAAGCATCTGAAAACATTTAAATTAAGCAAAAAATATATATAAAATACAAACTTAAAAAAAATAAAAATACAGACTTACAATAACACATTTGATTATATACTTGTATGTAAACTTTCAGAGCTTTTCAGGGCTCCACATACATTTTCGCTCCACGCATAAGAGATACAAAAGTGCTATAAAATGTTTCACCAGGTTTCCCAAACACTATGGTCTCTTCTTATCAAGCTGAAAGAAGACAGGTTAATAAAAAACATTAATAAATAATACTCTTCAAATTTTGCATGGAATCAGTTACTTTGTTATTTAATCTTTAACAGTAAATAATTAATCATTGCTAAGCCCTGCCACCTTAGCTAATGGTGCTCATATCTGAAAACTTTTCATGCTTGTTCTCTGTTGTTTAAAATGACCATTCGATAGACATTTCATATTCTCACTGACATTGAAGAGGATTTAATTCATTTTTGCTGAACAAGAGGAGAGTTTAGTATTTTGTAAATCAGCAAAACTTACCCTTACATTCTCATAAACAGGTTCATTCATCTCAACATCACAAGCTTTATGTCTGTCATGATGACATCTGGAATGATCCATCTTTGAAATGGAATAAAAGCACAATAGAGATTAAAAAACACTGATGTTTATGAGCAACTCAGTATATAAATTCACAGCTACATTCAGGCTTTCAGTGCTTGATTTACCAATTAATTTACCTGATCTGTACACTACTGATAGTCAAACGCATTTTCTCACCTGAGACTCCTGTGTGACTCCATTTCTCTTTTTCATCCTGCTCCTCCTTGAAGATATTGAGTATGATCATTTTTATTAGCTGAAAATCTGTTTGTCTAAACTGTTCAATACAATTTAGTATTTTTGATCAGGTGTCAGTCTTCAAATCAGTATGTCAACAAATCTTTCTTCTACACTGGATATTTCCAAAAAAGAAAAAGAAATACATTGCACCGTCTGTTATCAAATATACACACATCTTACCAAATCAGCACCATTGCGATGATAGCTGCTGCTCCACAAACCATTCCAATGGATATGTATAATATCACCAGACGTCCTACAACAGAGACAAAAGAATAAAACATGTGGAACAGATTATTTTGCTTCACTTTAGAATAAGTAATTTAAGTCAATGAGCTGCTCTACCTTTAACAGTGACAGTAACAGCATCTGATATCTGAGATCCGTGTTGATTGTGAGCCTCACAGTAGAAGCGTCCACTCTGTAGTGCACTGAAACTCTGTCCAGATCCAACAGCTGAGCTTTGATTCTCCTTAAACCAGATGTTTTCTGCAGGTGGGTTTGAATCACTGCTGCAGATCAGAGTCACTGAATCTCCCTCCACTATTTCACCAGATCCTCTTATGGACACTGAGACACTCTTTGGTGCATCTAAAGAGGACACAAATAAAATGTGTAGTTTCAAACAAACTCAACAAGTTAATAAATAAACAATCTGTACTCACACGTGACATTGAGATAAACAGCAGGAGAGATGTAAGTGTGTTCATGTAGAGCACAGCTGTATCTGCCTGCATCCTCTCTTCTGACTGACTGCAGCAGGAGTTGATTGTTTCTGTCTCTTCTCTCAGTTAATGGCTGTGAGTTTCTGTACCAGATGAATGTTGCTCTGTCAGTCAGAGTGCAGCTGCTTTTACATGTCAGACGCACTGAATCTCCCTCTGTCACTCTCTCAGGAGCCTCCACCTGAAGATCTGAACACAACACACACATTATATCTAGTGCTGCTGTCATACACTGATTATTACTCAACATAACGCACAGAAGAAGAGTGAAACTTCATTAAAGTCACCTGTGACAGCAAGAGCCACTCCTGGATGACCAGTCCATCTTCCTTTTGTTACATTTGTAATGAATCTGAAATAGTACATGCGTTCATCATTCTGTGTCACATGACTCAGTCTGATGGCACAGTTCTGCTGTTTATCTCCCAGATACTGAAGCCTCTGCAGAGGTGAAAAAGAGAGGACAGAAAAGGAGAGTGTGTACAGGGAAGAGCAAAAATATACTTAAGTGCCTTGGCGATTTCGTTGCTCGGGGAAGTCGCGCAGGTAAAGTCGCAGGTCTTTACACTCGTTGGTCTTCACACAAGGAGGCCTGAACGCTTCCGCGTCAGCGCACAGACATCAGATAAATACACAGTCTAAGACACTAAAGTGAAAACAGCTGTGGCCGCCTTCTAATTAGCACAGCCAATAGTCTATAGCAGGGCAATTCCTCCAATCGAAACTACAGTTCGCACTTAAACGCAGGAAGGGAGCAATTAAATTACACGCGCTCCTTCTTAGCCGAGGGCAATTATTATAATTACCAGAAAGTGCAATCAAAAATACAAACGCAAACAAAAATATAACGTAGAAATAGGCAGAAAACTAAATATTCCTTCCTTTTTTAGGTTTTATTCATGGAAGTTTTATTTCTTTGAAGATCATTTTAAAGTTGTCTTCATTTGTAATTTTTATAGGACAATATAAGCACCACTGTCAATCTAGATGCTGTAACGAATCAGCTCATGGGAAATATGAATAATTAACCATAACTAGTTATGATTAATTATGAATATTTTAGATCCGCTGTAGATATTTAGCTGACCACTCAGGGTCAACTGTCTTGTCAATTCTAAGAACGTT